TTCTTGTTTTTCAGACCAGTTTCGCTGAACACTCTTACAACTGCTGTTAAAATTGATTACCTTGGAAAATACTTATAATACGACTGAAACAACCAACGTATATTCTTTTGGAAGAAAGAAATCTATGTGAAAAACGTAGAATATGTTCTCGGCATATTTTGTTTGCACGGAATTCGTGTGAACAGGATAAATATTTTCCGGAGGAATCTGCGCTCTCCTGGATGGACGTTGAAATGTATCATGAAAAAAAAACGAGGATGCATATCTGACCTGCAAATTTTAACATATGGAATTGTTTTGTATTTTTCAGGTGAACTCAATCATGGGGATCCTCAACTCGGTATACGGGCTGATTGCTGGTCCAGAAAACATGTTCTTCTTCATATTGACCGGATCTTCTTGGCATACTAGTGAAGGTGACGAAAACCTTGTGGTTATTTTCAAGCATTTTTTATCGATTTTTTGTTGTTGCTGACATTTTTTATTGACCTTTGAGTTAAATGTTGTCATCGAGGATTACATTTTTTCTTTGTTCTCGGCAGTTGGGTCGATGTAATGAACCTTTTTCCTGCTAATTTATTTACGTGCAATTAAATTTTTTTATTGTGCATTCGGGAAGCCATTATTTTCAGTTTAATGTCTAGCAAAACTTCACGCAGGAGCGCATCACAATTCGTTGTGGATTTTTAAAAGAAATACATTTAAAGTAATAGCTCAAAAGAGGATGCATTAAAAAACCTTGCAATCAGTGTTCAAAATTTTAAACTTTCCACTGGAATTCAGTCACCTGCTCCCTTTTCTGTCACCATGCATTTGCGAACAGGTGGAATCTGGGAATGAGTGGAATATCGGAATTTTGTTGACTTCCCTATAGTGACATCTATAATTCACTCTGCAGTAATTTTCCAAAAGTTTCGATCACTTCAGAAACATTAAATAAACAAGAAATGTCTCCATTTACTCCATGAACTTGGACACTCCATGCGAACCAATACAAATCTCACATGATGAAAATTTTTTCTTAGAGTTTATGCAGCTGAAGCTTATGAAAAATACTGATTTTCCTCTGGAGAAAGTGGATCCCAATTAAAAAGGGGACACGGAATCGCCCAGAAATTTAATTAAATTAATTAGTGACTGCTAGTGACATCTAACCTTGTGGCGATAATTCGATAATGCGCAGGACACAGCAGATATGAGGACCGAAAGAAATCATCATTTCTTTACTGTAGTTGAGATTTTTACTCCGCAGCAACGTTTTGGGCATCATGTACACGTTTTGTTCATTTGAGCTTATGAAAAGCAGCCCAGCAGATAAAAGTTTTATGTTTTCATCTGAGTTTCTGTAATGGAGAACGCTTTTTTTTTTTTTTTAAACACGTCGCTTTTCGCAGCTCGTTTACTGTTGTCGAGCGTCAATAAACTTCGGTTCTTAAATTATTGGAAGCCTCTGTTCACGAGCAGCTGCGGATGTTGGCTCAGGGGGGGTAAAATACATTCCGCAGTTTTTACGAGGTAACTCAATATTTCAAGTCTGATGTTACGTATGGGGGAACAGCTGCTCGTGTGAAATGCTGCATGTTTCAGTAAAAGATTCATAATATTCAAACCCCGACATTATTCGGTGAATTTAATTACGAGGGTGGAGTCCCGGCCGGGAGATGAAGTCAACCTTTGTTGTTGATACGCTGGAGCGGGGTCTTTAAATATTTTGGCTGCTTTGTTCGTGGAGTTCTTTTGTTTGAATCCTGTTTTTGTTGTTGTTCTTTTTTTTCATGTGCATGACTGAGAACAGTCTTGACTCTCGTGACCTGGTTTGCGTTGGCGGCCAACCTGGTGTTCTTGCTCATTTGCTGCCTCATGATCCACGGCGTGCGACTGGTGAGTCTCCTGGGATGCATCTTTTACAGATTAATTTATGAAAAAAAATTTTTTAATGCCACAAAGTACAGTCGTACTGTACCTCCTTTATTCGAATTTCGAGGGAGCAGCAGAGAAAATACGTGTTGGAGAGATGACGAGTTAGGGAAGGAAGTACGGTATTTCAATTTATTGGGGAAGGAAAGAAAGATTTAGAGGACATTTTAATTGGTGATATTCTAAGCTTTAAATTGCATCTTGTAGGAGTTGAAACGATGCTGCTTAACTTCCGTTCCCAAATAAACTGACTAAGCAGAAAGTGAAAGAAAGCTTTTCGTAGTTCATTGTATAATTAACGAAAAGAGAAAGGACACAGCTATTTTACTATCTGATTTCCGGAGGCCTTTTGTCGAGTTATGAAAGTTTCAGGAGGAAAGCTTTTGAGTTACAGATGGTGTTAATGAATTTTTTAAAAAGGGAACTTGCAAATATACGACATTCGGAAGTATTCAACTTGGGGAGGTTTGATTTATTGAAGTTCAACTGTAATTGTGTCTAGTTATCGTTATTATGATGTCCGACGTGAAAGACTTTGTTATTTTTGTTTTCGTGTGGGTACAGGTTGACTCTCCAAAATGAAACTCGAGGGACCAGAAATAATTCCCTTGATGTGGAGAGAATTCCGTTGTGGAGAACTCCTGTAACATGGAGAGTTAACCCTGTAGGACCAAAAACAATTTTGTTAAACTTTGCAGACAAGATCGTTATAGAGAGAGTCCCTATGACAATTCACATTAGGATCGTTTGATACATTTCGTTTAGGTCAGGCATGTTGAGGTTTGGTGAGACCGTGTTTGACAGGTGGGTGATCGGAGCGACACCTGCACGAAAAAGTTTAGAAAACAAGCCGCCACTGGGTTGCGTCATCTTCCCATCAGATAATGCAAATTTTATTCCAAACTTGACTCCGAAGCGCAACTTGACCCTGTTTTTTTCGTAATCTAAAGGGTACGCCGAGAAAAGGATTGTTTCTTGGGCAATTCTTGCCTCTCTTTTCTTCTCGAATGATCGATTTCGGTAGCACGATTAGTTTGAAAAATGCTAGGAATAAGAAATTAAAATTTATTTACTTTCTTGAATCTTGATAAAACCCGACAACCAGCCAAGTATCGAAGATGTTCCAACTCTTTTCCCAAAAAAATTTTGATGAAGTTTTTCATGAAACGAAGGACAAAAAGAAAAATAAGGTGATGATTCTGGAGTTGCGATACCTTTTTCTCTGCTTTTCTGGTTCCATTCGCATTTGGCAGGAAACAAAAATAAGTTTTTTCTCTAACTTGATTAAAAAAAAAAAGACTGTATAGTGTGTATCCTTCAGTCCGTGGTCTAATCAATATATACGGTACATAAGCATTTTCTAAAATAATGCATATCCCACCCGTCAAAAAGTGTTTCACGGAGACTCATGTACAGTATTGAAACCCTCGAAGTGCAGTAATTGCATCATTTCGAGCACCTTTTTCAAATGAAGGTGTACCCGTTGTTCGTGATCCTGTTGCGTCAAGAGCCCGCTGTAACTAAGAACCCACGTTGGATAGTACTGAGGTGCAGTACTGAATGCATTCTCTTGTCTCTCTCTCTGCAACAGGAGAAGCGTTGTCTGCTGCTGCCATGGATCGTGTGGTCGTGTCTGTACATATTGTTCCT